CCCCGAAGAAAAAACTGTCTCGGATGAAACTCCCGAAGAAAAAACCTCAGAGGAAAGCCCTGAAAAGAATGCTGCCTCAGAGGAAACCCCTAAAGAAAAAATCATTTCAGAGGAAACCCCTGGAGAGAAGGGAGAAGAAGAGAGTAAAGAAAAAGTGGAAGAGAAAGAAGAAACGAAAGAAACAGATGAGAAAGAGCAGGAAGATTTGATAGAAACGAAGGAAACCCCTGAAAAGGAGGTTGCCTCAGAGGAAACCCCCGAAGAAAAAACTGTCTCGGATGAAACTCCCGAAGAAAAAACCTCAGAGGAAAGCCCTGAAAAGAATGCTGCCTCAGAGGAAACCCCTAAAGAAAAAATCATTTCAGAGGAAACCCCTGGAGAGAAGGGAGAAGAAGAGAGTAAAGAAAAAGTGGAAGAGAAAGAAGAAACGAAAGAAACAGATGAGAAAGAGCAGGAAGATTTGATAGAAACGAAGGAGAAGAGTGATGATAACGASAAGACTGAGACACAGGAAGATGGTCCTGGTGGCCCTCCATCGGCCATGAAAGAGTTTGAGATCTACTGCGACGAYGWAGATGTCACCAAAAAGATTGAAGAAGACCAGAAGAAGAAAGAAGAATCGATCACCGATSGGAAGGCTCTCAGYAATGGAGAACTGTTGGCMAAYGAACTGAAAAAGGAAGCTGCTAATATGCCRCAACAAAATGCAAAGGACCAAACGGTAGGAAGGAAAACATTTTTAATTGATTGATTGATTAATGGGTTTAATTAATAATTGGAATGAATTGATTGATTGATTGATATCATGTAGATAGAATTATGCTCCTAAGGCAGTTCTCACCCAAAGCATTATCCGCCCACATTAAAGTAATTATGGGGCACCTAGTTCTTCAAGAAATTCAAATTACAGTATGTAATTTCAAGCGTTACTAAGACWTGTCACACAACGTTTTTCCCAATATGCGGAAYAAAAACTGAGTTTATAGGACTACTTTGCGATAWTGACTGAATGATTGCTAGTTTTTGGTCGACTAAAGCTGTCAGCGTTRTAACAAATGATGAACAAAACATYAGTATTTTMTCAGGATGTAAAAAGTCAATCATAAACAAATCGGATTGCACGAAAGCTCATAAGAAATTATCGTTTTTCCAGGGAGAGAAACATTTTAAAACCCTTAAACGTACAAGAAAGTTTGCCACWCAAGATGGGAAAATAGTGACGGAAACAACGTCACGCGTGGTGGATGTGAGTGGCGAAGACTTTAAGAATGCACTTATGAAAGAACAGCAACAGAGGTGAGATATCTCAAGTATCACTGTTTCTTTTCATTACCATTTCTTTCATCCCATCATTTTGTTTCTTCATTTCATTGCATTTTGTCTCATTGTTTACYTGTTAATTATCATCATTAGATGATGCTGATTATCATTATCATTGAATGCCTTAAATGCCATTAAATGTCATCATACATTTTTTTCGATCACATGCTCTTCCAATTTGCGCCCTGTGTTCATTCAACATGCTTATCTTGCTCTTGGCCTTCATTTGAKAAATCAAGCAACCAATAGGCTTTATCAAGCTATATTACATACATATCAATCATTACAGAGTAATTTGATTGGACTATAACAAAAAAAACGCCGCCAATTCTCATTTATTGGACCAATTCATTCAAAAATACCCTCTGCTAACACTATTACATCCTACGACTTCACTCCAATTTTTGTGATACACTGAATAATTTGAAATCGCATTCTATTTATTTYGTGTTGCGATCCACAGTGTTTACATCCGTTGCATTCCTTTGCAAAACAATCGTCATTTCACGTATAWCCCTACTGTTCTAAGTATTAAATTTCAAGATTCATATCAGTGGCGTGATAGTCAGGTTGTAATTAAACGGGTTACGGTTTGGATGGACGTTCATAGCTCATGGAAACGAAGGGAACTTCTCTTTTTTGAAATATCCTCAAACCATTTTTTCCGAAACGTGATATTTAATAGTGGCTTGCAGCTTTGTTTGGATGCCAAGGGCAGCTCCTGCGACTAATTAATCAATTTAAATACATCCATCATATCGCTTCCCTCAGTATTACAAATCGTCATGCCTAACAACGCGAGCTTCGTTTTCCTTCATTCCAGAAAAATGAATCTGCGAGACCTGAAAGTTCTGCAGCGACAGGAGCAAAAGCAAGGAATGGAGCTAATGTCAAAGATACGACGTCAGTGGGAAGCTCARGARCAACGATTYGARCAAGAAATGCTGGTAAGATGGCTAGATTGAAAAGATAACCTGAAGTTAGAGCTTATCTATTACATAGAGATCCCAAAGCACCGCAGTGTCCATAGTGTAGAGGTYTCTTCAACTTACTAGTTGTCCGYAATATAGAGGTGTTCKCGATTTAGAGGGCATTGCTGCAAGCCTCAATTTTTCGGATAACAAGGGACAGCTAGATATTGTCCGTAATACAGAGGGGATGACCGTGATATAGAGGTTATTGATGCAAATCTCCATCTTAARAACAACGAAGGGGCGAAAGAAAGAGTTCGTAATATATAGGTGTCCGTGATATAGAGGTCATTTGCACAAAGTTCTATCTTCATGAAAAACGAACGGGTTAAGAAAGTGTTCGTAGTATAGGGGTTATCGAACCACCATAGTGAAGTCAACAGTGAAGTGTCCGTCATACGGAGGTCATGACTATAACCCTGGTTCAAAGTGGTCGCTTTCATTACTGTATAAGTCCGATTGAAAATAACCAGTTACCCTGCGAACAGAGGATTTTTCACCCCCTTTTACGAAGAAAGAAGAGGATGGAAAAATGCTCTTCTCGTAGGGTAATGACCAGAATGAGCAAACGTATTTCTTATGTTAAAGTGTTTAACACGGGAACTGTCTTTCACGTTTTTGGTCCTGTATCGCCTGCAGTCTTCATTTCCCATTATTTTATAGAAAATGTATCCGGCACAGTTRCTGTCAATTAWGTCGAAGTGTAAATATCAGGAGATATGGATTACAGCCCATTCCAATCAGTGCCATCTCTGTTAATAAACTTTGAGTAGGAAAAAGATCATGGAATTGAATGATGTCAGTGACTACTTCACTGCAAATTGTGAAAAAGTMTGRGAATAACACTGCGTCTTTATCTTTTTGTTCTTATAGTCGAATAGGAATTGATTTGTACGTCCCGCGCCTTAATGTATCCTTGTGTCATGTGTTATCAGTAGTTCAAATTCCAAATTAAAAGTGCGGGTCAGCAAATATTATGGAGTCAAATTCCAAATTAAATGTGCAGGTCAGCAAATAGTTTTTTTAATCTTTTTTCTAAACAGCCGCGGGGATTATTACTGAATTGGCGTTAATGACAGGATGTGTAACACAAAATTACGTGTGACTCGGCCTCTTTCTTAGTAAACATAAAAAATCTTACTGAAAACATGGATTTATTTTTACTTTTTCGTTTGTTTTGTGTAGTTATTTTCTCTCATTCCGTTTCTACCTTTCATTTTTGTTTCACTTTTCATCAATTTTGGCTCTCTTTCACATGTCATGAATGTTCCCGGCTTGAGTTCTCAACCTAACATCATTTTTTTTCTACTAGGATCTTGACAAAAAAGTCGAAGCTGAGCTTGATGCCTTGAGTAGAAATCAGAAAAAAGAAATCGAGAAGTTAGAGTTGACTCAAAACGCAGATCTGAGAGCCTCGTCGAGAAAGATGAAGCAAGACCAGGTACTATATGATAAGATATCAGTAAGCAAGTAAGGGGTGGGCTGCCTGTGGGACATCAGCCAGTGACGTCATTTTCTCACGCAAAGCATGGCGGTATATRTAGTCGTCAAACATTTTTAWTTCCGTTCGCCTGCGTTTAGATCATTAAAATCATCTTTCTTTGTGTTCTCTTGTGTTGTATTTGCAAGAATTCAAGTAGTTTGGGCGTTCCAGTGAAGGAAACATAACAACGGATTTAGGATAGACTGCATCTCCCAGCATTTTTCTTGTACAAATCGTCGTCGTTTCACATTTCCAATTATCTTATGATTCACTATCATAGTGTTACCATTCCAATGTTGATATTTCATTGTTTCAGGAAAAAGAATTACGTAGATTTAAGGATAGTCTCAAAGAAGAGAGCAAAAAGAGCAAAAAAGATGTAAGTGTTTATCACTGATACTCAAATAATACCCTTTCTCCACTCTCTTTCCCTTCTCCTCTCCAATCCCCACGCTTTAAAAATGCTTTTATAACTGGCAAAGAGGATTATAAACCTATATTTATATTTTRAAACCTCAGGTGGACAAGCTTCCTCGACCACAACGTAAGGAAACGTGGAAGAAAAAGAAAGACGAATTGAGCGTGTCACATCAACAAGCTGTGAGTTTCTTTTCGGGATTTTTTTCGTCTTTTCCGATTACTTACCGATCTCACTTTCGGCTAATTTCGGACATATTCGTATTACACTTTTGCAGGAACACGAGTTTCTTGCCATGCAGCAAACAGAGTTTGAGAAATTCTACAAACAAATGATTGACTTGCACAGACAGAAAATGTTTGAAATGGAAATGCAGTTTTTGGAGTCAAAACACGAACGAAAAAGAGGTAATTTTTGTCTTTTCCCTTCATATTTCCATGTATTTAGCTCAAAACACCATCAGTGCATCCCTCAATCCATCCATTTTTTGAATTAAAAAAATAGGTTGCCTTTCATTCATAATTCTGTCCATCCCATCGAAAATTTTCATTGCATTTGTTATTTGGCTTCCTAAGCACGTTCTAGGAATGAATATTTTTCTCATCCTCTTTCAGCYCACGAGTCGGAAAAATGGGAAATGGAATTCCGACATCTTAATGAACGACATACCCTGGCGAAAACACAATTGAAAGAAACGTTCTTTCTACAGAGATCCCAGATGTTAAACAGGCACCAAAAGGTTCGTTGAAAACCGTAAATTTCGGACATCGAATGTCGGGGCGTTCGATGTATTTCAAAGAGAGTATCCCCTCTTTCCCTAACTCTCCCTCGGACATACCTGCGGTGGAGGGTAAGGCCGGGGTTTATATCAATACATGTTTTTTTTCATCAGGAAGTCGAACAACATCAACATTTAACTAAACTACAAGACGACGAAATGAAACGACGTCACGAGATCGAACGGAAACGACTTCCSAAGATACAACGAAACGARATCAAGACGAAATCACAGCAGCATCGAAAGACATTACGAGAAAAGAAAATTTCGCTTGACGAGGAAAGAGAACAACTAAAAGAGGTAGAAATAGAAAAAATCTTTGATTGTAACTGCAAAATGCAGGGCTAAAATGGGGGGAAAGAAAGAGCGAGAAAAAAAAAGACAAATTATTCAGTAAAATAGGAAGGAAGAATAGAAAAAATGAGAGGAATGCACTTGTTTGGCCTTGAAGTGAAGAATAGAGATCACAAAAACACTTAATGAGTCCAACAGTTWACAGGAAAAGTGTTCAAATCTTTACTGGTTTTGTTGTTTCTTTATTCAGTTCGAGGATTTGGAAAGGAAGCGAGCGCGTTCAGAGTACGAGAAGATGTTACTACGACAAGACCTAGAAAGCGAGGAGCTTCAAACCTCATCTAATAGTGCACTCCAGGAATTACAGCAGTTACAGGTTTGTACATTGTCTCAGTAGTTCCATGTCCTCGTCGAAGGGAGGTACAGGGGACGGACGAGAAAAAGGATTCTAATCTTGGAAGTARAATCTGCCTTTATAGATTAGTAATTTGATGATTGAATTTCAGAACGAAAAGAGACATATGTTGATGGAGAGCGAGACTTTGAAGCTGAAAGAGAGAGACGATAAACATAATGGACAAATGATGTCTTGGAAGGCCGAGCTCGGTCCCAGGAAAAAGGTACGCGAATCAGTTGTCGTTTTTCTCGTTTGTCTTATTAAAAATGGTATTTTGATGCGACTAGATATGTCTTCATTAAAAGTATTTATTCATTCTGCATTTTATGGTCGGTATAAARTCTGATATATTTTTTATCTCAATAAGACTCTCGAGGAAGAATTTGCCAAGGAGAAAAGAGAACAACAACTTTTTTACGCTCGCGGTGGCGACGCCGTACCCGACACACCACCGAACGACCTCCGAGTACCAAACGACARCACGAGTCGAGATTCTTATGATGGATCCGGAGGAAGCCAGACAGGCAGCCAACGAACTCCTGATGATAACAGTTCAGGCCGATCTTCCACTGGATCAATGGAAATTTAAATTGGTCAGATCATGGCGATGATGTCATTCTTCTTCCTCACTCTCCTCTCCCCCTCAGAATCGATTTTGCAATGACGAAAATTAAGCAAATTAGAATCACTGAATCAGATGACTGCTCTTAAGAACATAAATGAGGATTCGACACAACTGTTCTGATGTTGCGATGCAAATTAAATGATGTGAYGTGTTAAGTCACGTGACTTAAAATCCATTTAAAAATAGTCGCATTCGTTAGACGCTTGATAAAACATTCGCGAAAAATGTTTTTAATTATTCATTAAGATCTTCGAGATAAGTYGGTTTCGATTTATGACTCGTATGCGATGATAGTCGAATTCTGGGACAGTATCGGGTTCGATAAAAATTGACTCGCGACAAGAGTCGTACAAAATATTTCCATTGATATATATAGTTAAAAGCACCGGAAAAGGCCGAGCCCGAGTGATTGCATTTGGCAAAGTAAGGTAGACGCCTCAAAGGACCGATTGTAGAATAGCGGGATCGGTCTTTTAGGTTTAAATTAATTCAAATATTTTTAATTGTTACATTAAAATCACAAGATGTAGAAATTTTCGACAAACAGCAAGACAAATTATAAGTAATTTTCCAGTATGGCACAATGCCGAAGGTATACATTCAAAATTACAATTAAAATCGTTTATACAAGGCACGAAAATGATTAGTCGTGTGAATGTGTGGTTCTTTTATAGCCCAAGCGGAAGTCACCTCAAATTTTCCCGCCAAAATGCGCGCGCGCGTTTATAAAGGCTAGTCGCCACGACRGGTGTAGAAGAAGRGGATTTTTGTCAGTTTGTCTCTTCTAAACATTTTATGTCATCCTAAATTCCTAAAAGCCGTGTAAACATTCAGGCTTTAAGTTATKAAAGCTCGTAGTAATTACAGTTTTAATTCGGAAATCCGCGTTTTTTAAGCTAGGTACTGACTTTTAATCGAATATTAATTTTTTCTCTTTTTACACTTCGTCTTTTWATCTTATTTCCTTTCTTCTTCCAATGTTATTGCTTTGACAGCAGCTGTTTGAGTCGGTTCTACCATGGCTGCGTTCTTTTTTCCCTCTTTTGAACTTCCAAGCTCACACATTTTTCGTACAAGATTCTTCGCTGCCCTTCTCATGTCCCTAAATCTCCAAAAATACACCACGGGGTTGAAGGCAGAGTTGGCAAACAGGAGAGGAATGGTGAGGTTAAATGCGCGTTGACAAATTATAGGGCTTACGTCTGATCGAGTTATTCTTATCAGTGTTGCCGCACAGTACGGCACACAACACAAAAGGAACAGAAGTATGACATACAACATGGAAGCCGCAGAACGTTTAAATTTCTTCATATACATAACTGAGGCTGCCTCTTGTGTTTGACAACRAATGGCCCTTGTATGTCTTCGAAGGATAACAGCGATTTTAACATTGCAGTAGACAATAACCACGAAGACAAAGTAACCGAAAGCAATAACAAAATATATGACCTGTTTGATTCTAATATCATCGTTATCGGCCAGGCACAACCAGATCGCTACGGAACCGCCAAAAACCCATATTCCAATAATTCCCTTAATAACCCTRGAGTTAGTAACCAATTCTGCGTATCTGAGGTGGAGAGTAATGGCCAGATACCTTTCAAAAGACACAAACCCAAGATGAGTAAAAGCRACAATAGCGAAGAGCGMACCTGAGCAATTTGCTAGAGATCCAAGCATGCACACAGTACGATAATCTCCGCTCAACCAGCCACCACTTGAAGACTCCAGTGTGAAAAGTTTGATTTTATTCGTCTTGAAAGCGATGAAAAGTGGTTGAACTAAACCTCCAACACACAGGTCAGACAAAGCAAGGCCAAACATTACATAATTCGAAGGCGTGTGCARCGATKGCGTCTTTTTGATGGTCACCAAAACTAGAAAATTCCCAATCACGGCCAGCGCTCCGAGTATTCCATTACTTACGCTTGAGGTAATGTTCGAGTCTATGGTCAAAKGGATGCTTTCAAATGATGAAGTCCCAGCGTGGACGACCAAGCAAGGAGGGTATTCAGAAGTGTTGATTTTTGAAGGAAATTTGTCKTCCATATTCGTAGTATATCGTTTCCGTGTTTCGAGTAAAGACCGGTGGTCCCTTTTCGGCCTTTTTTTCAGTATTTGAGGTCTTCTCTTGCTGAAGTGCATACTTAAAACTTTTGTCTTTCGAACACTGCAAAATTAAATTCGAATTGCTCTTTTGAATGGTCTACTTTGTTATGTCAGTTGCTCTTTGAATGATTGAATATGTTATTGCAATACAAACTGACAGGGTTAAATTGTACTTTTGTGTGGATCCTTCCTTCAATAAATCCGCCTTCTTGATTTCCATGGTCGGCTTTTGTAAGAAAGATGTGCAGAAGGAATTCTAAGCTTAAACATTGCGTCAAATTTTGCGATCTAATGAGTTTTGGAGGCAGGTTTGAAGATCAGTGAKCGATAATTATAAAGAATGTTTTTGATATACAGCATCAATGCAAAACTTGAAAAAGGCGCGCGATTAAATGACCAGATTCTAAATCTCCTTAGATACTCAATATAATATAATAGAACTCTTCAAATTTCTCTAAGTTTGTTCTTTGAATTCACAATTCTCTTTGACAATGATTCGCGTAGTGACAGATGTCTGGCTTACCTATDATTCGAGTAAATGTGGATGGGAGGCATATTTTGCGCTATTAAAATTTATTTTTCTAACATTTTCGTGCCGGAATGTAACCACTGGAAAAATCCATATATCTAGCGAATAAAATCCATACAAGATCTATGAACTGGTCACTATTTGGAAATCAAAAGCTAAAATTTCCAGTAATCTCCCTATTTCCCATTATCACTCCATGTTTTAACAGATTTTGACAGTTAAACWTTTTCGCCCTTACGAAACATTCGTTAGCTTAAAAACCCACGCCCATTYCGAGGGTAGTTTGTCGATGGTAATTGGCGGTATTGACACTACAAGGCCTTTCATTGGCTGTGCTTTCCACTCAAACTTTCCAGAAAATCCCAAWAGAGTGACGTTAGTYTGCTCTGACGTTATTGGCTCACGAAGTGTCAGGTGACCAGAGCTCGGCCAATCAAGAACGATAGCGTACAATGCRCTTGTTGTCTTGGTATACCTTAWAGATAAAATCAAACCTAAACGTTAAATTTATGGATGCCTACAATTATTATTTCCTAACAACTGTTTGAACACTTCCCAAATTCACTACCTACTTTTTTTTAAAATCATGTACGATTTGTCAACAGAAATTGCATGAACTTTTGACCGAAAACTGGGTGTTGAAAATGGAATAATCTCGAGGGTACAAGAAAGATTTTTGTAATTATCATTATTTTTAACATAATTTGCTGATTTTAAGTCGAGTGAAAATTGGCTGTTAAGATAAGTTACCATATTCTAGATGTGTCATTTTGGACGCGCCACGGTCGGGTAGAGTAAATCGCTTCTCCGTTGATGTCAAGCCATGTACCCATCTGAAGAAGACGTTCTTGAAATATAGGAACAATACGACCATCAGCAGTGGGACCAACGTTGAGCAGCATATTCCCTCCACAACTGGAATAAAGAAGGAAAATAAAAAAGAATTACATTGGATTTACGTTAACTATCATGAAACAACTGAAAATGTTTCCTCCCAAACGATGTTTTTCTGCTCTGCTGTCAGAGACGCCATGTTTTTTTGAGAATATCAACTAAGAATTTGTTTCTCTGTTAGTTCATCTAACATGGCGGTGATAGCTCTGTTGTTGTTGTTGTTGTTGTTGTAGTTGTTGTTGTTGTTGTTGAATTCTAGGTCACTAATTATGAGAAAAGGGCAAGACGGAAAGCTTCTGAATCTCTTACATTTCTTTTGGAACGCTGCTCGTGTCGAGCGTCAAAAACATTTTGCGATAAGCTATGGATGTGTACCGACATTATTGTGCTATGATTACCTGACTGTAGAAGCGAGCTGGTATATAAGGTCCTCTATTGACATGTACGAGAACACGTCGGCATTACGTCGGAAACCCCACGACAACTTATCGACCGTCATGGCATTCTCCCACTTATGTTTTATCAAAACCCCTGGAAAATTTAACAAAAGAAAATCTTAAATACTGTTTTGTACGTATTCTTTTGAAAGTAAGCAATAACCAATCTCGTCCCCAGGGTCGGTAGGCAGGCTGTTATTCAAGATGGCGTCACAGAGAGAATGYCCTCGCTTTGTTAGTATAGAAGGCCCTGGGACAGTTTGAGGATTATCCCTTCATTTCTTTGCTTTATTGTTGTTGTTCTGCGAGGTAAAAGAAAATTACTTGATAACATCAYCCCCTTACCTGGATTATATCGATCGCTACAAGTCCATACACCTCCGTGTTTACACCACACTCCATTTCCCCATCGGTCATTTACAACAACTGTATCTTTCACTGGGCTGAAACGCAAGATATGTAAATCCAACGTAAAATTACAAAACGAACAAAGGGATTTTTATATGTTAAAAGTCACAAAACGATAGTTTCGTCAAATACCGCTGACCTCTCGTTGTAAAGCCACGCTAAGAATTCTTTRCTTTTCCAATAGTCATCCGAGCCCACGTCACCGTCAGAGAAGATGTACTCRGGCTTGTATTTATTGACAAGGTCGTGCAATTGTGGCTGAGAAATTTCCTAGAAAAATGGAAAAAATGTCAAAAATGGAAAAACGCTTCATAACTGTTGCGAGATTTTAAATTCTCGAGGACAGATCAGGGCTCCTGCAGAGACAGATGGACACACTGATGGAGCTGAAGTCCTAGTCTATAACAGAAATTCTTCGTTTGTTGCATGTGAAGATCACTAACATGTTACATATTCAGGGCCAACCAAGAATGTGTTGATMTTCATCCAATAATTTTTAATTGACATCGCGTACCTCGACGTATGTATTTGTTTTGTAGCCACTTRACTGATCCTTGAGGTACAGAGGATTGTACCATTCGAACTGAGAGAAATACAAACCAAACTTAACATCGGTATTGGCTCGGATTGACTTTGCAAGATCTCCTACAATAAGATAAAATATTTTAGCGACTCTTGAATTTGTTTTTCTTTAAGCTTAAAGTTCTCATTTTATCATAGTCCAATTTCGATATTCGGTTGAAAGGTCATGCGCAAAAGAATTGAGGCTCTATTTACTTAATTATTGTTTCCCCTAACCACATCTTTAGTTCTTTTGTGTGGTCAGTCAAATAAAATATCGAAAGAGGTCTATTCAATCAACTTACGACCGAAGTGCATTACGGTATTCTAAGGTCTTTCAATACACAATAAAAGTCGCCATCTTGAATGATCAAGAAATTTTTTGGATATCCAAAAGGAAAAAGTACGAATAGTACATGTAGAATACTACCAAAATATTGCTTTCTCTGAACTCGAAAGTTCATTCTTGAGTTATCCAATACCATTTAAGTTTTTTGAAAGAAAGTATTGACWTAGATTATTCAAGATGGCGGCCGAACTAGTAATAATCTCGACTGTTCCGTTTTCTTGTCTTCCTTCAGTACTGCATTCATTMGGATCAAACCTACCTACAAGATCTCTATGGGGACCATTATCAACAGAGTTCCAATTCCAAGACACATTCGATCTCCAGTTCGTCCAGCCTTCGTGGTGCTTACTTGTCAGTAAGAAATACCTAAACTCCATAAAAAGATTATTATAGGAAAATGGCCTTAACTTGCCAACTATAAATTGTTCGTTCCAAATTATTACCATTTCAATTAGCAGATACGTAAAAATTCGAAATTTTCAAAGATGTCATGTCGGCATATTAGGCTGACTTATTCCTGAATAAGGCTGTGAAACGGGGTATTGACAAAAGATTCTCAAACCAAAACTTTCAAATATACGAAAAAACGTCTTGAAATATAATATTGGATACTCAGCTGTACATGTTAGTAATTTTCACATCAAGAATAAATAGATGTTGGACTGAAGATCCCCCAGGTTGTCCCCGTGTATTAAAAAATATCAATCATCAAACGTTTTCCCAATACAGTCAATCTCATTAACGTTGTTCARTTGTAAAGACATAAAGAGAGCAACAAAGTATATACATATGTTTTTTCAATYCCCGCGAAGAATTTTGATTTAAAACTCCAGATTATGCTTGCAAGTTTGTTTTTATTGACATTGCCCTCAATTTTTGAAACTTGAATAATCTTGCGAATAAAAAACTGAAACTTAAATGTGATATATGCAARTGACTTTGGTGTTGTCTTCATGTCTTTGCAAGCCAAACATTGTTAATGGATTGACTGTATAATATTGTATAATAATGTCATATTTTTCTCTGTCTCTTTGATGGCAGTATCAAAGTGGTTTTCCTTATAAGCCTGAATGGGTTTACAGGAAAATTAAACCGAAAATCGTTGTCATAAAAAACATCGTGGCAATCTTCATTTCAGTTATATAAACGAAGAATTTGTCAAACATGCCATTTGAATCACATTTGAATGATGTCCTAAAACGCCTTTTGGTTCTTCGCCGCAGACAGGAAGTAACGTGGGCTCTTAATATTTAAATTCATTAAGGTCATCCTCACTTACTTTGCCCCAGACTTCTGCACCAACGTCGCAAAAACATCAGGGTCAAATAACTCCGCTTTGAACATAGGKGCAAAATCCGGATACTCAAAGTCGGGACCGTACGTCTTTAACATGAAATCTTTGTATTGTGGAGAGCCACTTTTCCAATAGTTCCAGAACCACTCGGCCGCCACTCCGAAGCTTGGAACCGAGTACAATCCCCAATGCATTATGATTCCAAATTTGGCATCGTCGTACCAGGACGGCAGTGGCCTGGAATCKAGTGAGTCCCATGTGGGCTGGTACTGAGCATGCGCAGTGGCACAAAAYGAGGAGAGAAAAACTATACCATATATGATAAAAGCTGTCATTTTCCTATGAGAATTGTAATTGAACTCAT